CAAAGACATCAAAGCTAAAAAGCTAAAAATCCTTCAATGGTTCCCACCATCTTAAAAAAAAAAAAAAAAATCAAACGTCTTGGCAAAACACAGTAAGTTCCAAATTGGGTTGTCCCTGTCTAGCCTCATCTCTTGCCACTCACATCTAGTGCATTAGCCACAAAGAATACATACAGAACTACAAAGATTTACTTCTAGGCCTCTAGCATTCATTCAATAAAATACCAAAAACCCTTAATCTATGCTGAAACAAAAAGATTCTGGCTTCCTAGAGCTTAGAGCATAGAAACAACAAATACCCTTCATTGAGTTAGGTCTGACACCAGAGGAAGAGCCTCTTAGTCACAAAGGAAAGGCCAACTCAGGTCAAGGAAAGTTCTAGGGATAAGGGTAAGCCTTGAGTTGGAACCTTAAAAGATGAACAAAAATCTCAAGGGGCAAAGGTAATTCCAAATAACTGGAATGTATTTATTTTTCCACACAAAATCTTAGACACTGTAACAAGCTTCCTAGACAATTTGGGGTTCTGACATGTACTTAACCTCCCCAAGTTTCTTCTACCTCTTGGAGCTACTGTGAGAATTAAAATAATAGATACAAACTTAACACAGTGTTTGGCATTTGATAAGCATTCAATACCTGTCAGTCATACAGAAACACACAACAATGCTCATTACAACAGTGTATTTCAAGGGTCCAGCATTCTCAGAACAGAGAAAGTAACAGTAAACAAAAATGACAACAAAAAGAGAAAAAGCAGTAAGAATGGGGTTAAACAACTTATCACCATACAGCCAGGATCAAACAGGTCTCTCTATACACCATGACCATATCCTTATACTACACATTACAACAGATGGTCCTTTATATTCATGATACTTAATCATAAATAAAACATTAAGTTCTGTTAAATGTGGTCTATTTGAAAAAAGTAGGACATAGTACATCTTTAAAAGCCTTCAACATCTTTAACAGACATCAAAAATGGCTAAAATAAAAATCTTGTGGGGGCGCCTGGGTGGCTCAGTCGTTAAGCGTCTGCCTTCAGCTCAGGTCATGATCCCAGAGTCCTGGGATCGAGCCCCGCATCCGGCTCCATGCTCGGCGGGAAGCCTGCTTCTCCCTCTCCCACTCCCACTCCCCCTGCTTGTGTTCCTGCTCTCGCTGTCTCTGTCTCTGCCAAATGAATAAATAAAATCTTAAAAAAAAAAAAAAATCTTGTGTGCCTAAAGTGTGGCCTTTTGTTTACCTTGAAAATTGAGTTTTATGCTAAATGATAAGCAAAATAAGTAACATGGTAGTATATGTTACAGTTCAACCAATAGGAAAAAAAGTAAAATCCATGATTAAAACACACACACCCTTTACTCACCAATGAAAACCAAACTACATGAAGCACCTAAGCAGGTTCCACTGCATGTCTGAATGTTAGACTAGAAGAGACAACTTAAGCCAAAAGGAAGGGGCTTAAGCCACATTAGCTTCCTCCTCAAAAACCAAGAAAATAAATTGGGGACATTCAAATCACTAACGCTCCTACTTAGAAACCTGTGAGATATAATCAAGTTGTAATTTTTAAAGCCTTGAATCAATAAAATATACAGTAAAACAATACTAAGATACCAGCATATCTAAAGTGGGACTTTTAAATCTGATTTTCCTTTAGCTATAGACAGGTTAACCTCATTACTGCCAAGGGTTTTATAAATTAACAACATGAGAAACAGCACACAAAAACATTTAGGTTACAAAAAGGTCTGCAATAAATTTTCTAGAGAAGTAATCTGTTATTTCTCCCTATCTAAGAAATTTAAATATTACAAATTATACTAAACTGCTTTTTCAAGTCTTTGGTTTTCAAAAACAATAATGATATAAAAAATTACATTTTTTTTTACTGTAACCAAATACAAAGAATATTTTCTATCCAAAGCATTGTAAGAAAAGCCTGTATCAGATATTCATAAGTATAATGCATACAAATTTTACATTTTATAATCAATTCCCTATAGAAATAATAGTTGAAATTGATAGCTTTACCATACAGCCTATCTTAATGATTAAGTGTTAATGTGTCAGAAGAACCACCAAAGTACTCGATGGACCAAATCAGATTTTAACACCAATGGCCTGAGGAATCTCAAATGTGGGATTAAATTAACCCTGCCTCCTTAGCATCAAAAATACCAAACAGTTCACTAGGTGATTGTGGGCTAAGGAATAATATGTGGAAAAGTCTAATATCTGTTGTGGGCAAAGATCTCATGGCTCAAATATTTCTTCTTCAGTTTGTGTGTGTGTGTGTCATCATGAAGAATTGTTTATACCTTTGAGTAAAGGGGCAACTCTATGTTAAAGATGTAATTGAGTACAGTTCATAAAGCACCATGGAATCAAAGGCACTCTATAAATTTAAAATACTAGTATGGTGCTGGCTTAAAGCAAAGAACAATAATTTTAAAGCATCTTACAGCCCAAGTGTATTGTAAACCAAGTAAAAATTCACTGGGGGATGTGACTTTTTTTTAGTGATTTTCCTCTATTATGGAACCCGGATCTAAATGAACTGTTAAACACTTAGTCTAAAGGTATGCCAAACATTTCTTAAGGTCTTAACAAAGAATCAACTTTTTTTTTTTTTTTAAACAAAATGAGGCCTAGGTTAAATATTTTATTTGGCTTCTCAAGATGGACTGAAAAGTTGGGCACCAGCTCCAGACCAGTTCCTGGACGCACATCAAACACAGCCCTGTCATTTATCCAGTCAGTCAAAACAATCTTTTCCATCTAAACCTTTAATGTTTATGTCCTAAAAAGCTGCTAATTGAATCCAGCTCTTGAAATCCATTTGTTAAAATCTATACCATCTAATTTGTAAATGGACAAAAATGAAAAATACAAGTTAACTTTCCTGGCAAAACAGAAGAGGATCCACCAAATGTAACCAAAAAGGAGAGGGCAATGTTTTTAATATCTGAATAGTTTTTTCTTAAAATATGACAGAGACAAATTCCCAATGGTTTTTAAAAAAATGAGAGTACCTCAAACTGTTTTTACAATTAAGGGGACACTGTATTTAATATTCCTCAGAAAAATCTAAAAATACAAAAATCACTCTATAAATTTAGTCCAGCGTTCCCTCTCCCCCCACAAAAGAGAAGTGTCATCTTTTCTCCTAAGTTTACTCATGAATTTTTATACTGTATCATAGGTTGTAAGGAAACCACAAACACTTTAAGATCCTGAGTCACAGTAAAAACTTCAAATTCATTTTATCTGGAAAAAAAAAAAAACACCTGTTTTCTCCCTCATTTTCTCATTATGCATATAGCCTAGAGGGAAGTAAATGGCCAACAGCCTATTTCTGATGCTTTTTGCACACCTGGAATCACAGGTTCTTTCCATGATCACTGCCACAGGACTGACTTCGGAGAGGAACATCAGGAGATAAACCCTAAAGCCACAAAGATCCCTTATAAAGGTATCCTAACAAAACAAGGAAACCGAATGGGGGCAATGTTGGGGCAGGGGGGAGGGGCGTAATCCCCAATCCAGGTTTTCCATTAAGAACCACTCAGTTCATAATTCTTTGCAATTTTCCCCAGGGAAAGTAAAATTGTCATAAAGTCATATTTTTTAAATTGCAGCCAATTTACAGTCAGGCTAAATTCTCAAATACCAAATTCACTGCAAGTTTTTATCCGTAAAGTTCAGCCAGTGGACTCGGATGTGACACACAAGCATTCAATTACAAAATTAGTCCATATAAATCTCAACGTCCAGTGTAGGCAAACATAATTACCGTTTATCCTTACACACGCGTGCACGCGCGCGCGCGCGCGCACACACACACACACACACACACACACACACACACAACCTCTAAGGAAAATCGTCTTTCTTACCACACACCCCAACAACGACTTGGATAATTAAGAGTGAATGGTGAAACTAGGATAACTACAGTGATTTCAATTCCACTTTTCAAACCAAAAATAATTTGTCCTTAAAATGGGGTGACACGACCACGTAAGAATACCAAAAATGGCACTGTGTAAGCAAAATGTACCTGTAATGTTAAAGATTGAATGCACTTGGAATCAAAAACACTTTGTAAGAGAGAAGCCTTCTACCTAGCAACCCCTCCATACATTCTTTTCCATTTAGAAAAGGGAAGGGGAGGAGATGAGGAGAGAGAGAACTTCGCTTGCAAGTTTGTATGAGCACATACTTAGAAATGTACCAAAAAAAAAAAAAAAAAAGGTGTGTCCTTAAAGCAGGTCTGGAGTTAGAAGTGAGACACAAGTTCTGCGGCCTACAAGGAACAACCCAAAACATGCTACCCTACAATCAAACACTTCCAAAACACAGAGTGTACAATGAGCCGGAGTCGTCGGATCAGGCGGTCACACCGGAAAAATCCACCCCGGTCTCCTCCCCTCCCAAAGACATGCGTTTCAGGTGTGTGGCACCGGCTGCTGTGGCAGGCGGCCGAGAATGAAGGTTTTTGCACGCGGGCATAAGTGGGCGAACAAGTTAACCACCAGGGAACACACACACACACCCTCCCGTTAAGCGCTCCATCTTTAAGGAGTGTTTACAGCTCGCAGTCAGCGACCGGATTCACTAATCCCCGCCACAGGAGCTCTTCATCCCCTCGACGACCCCACCTGGGCAGTGGCCCAGGGGATGCTCCCCGAGGGCCCGGAGAGAGTCGAGCTCCTCGGCCAAGGCTTTCCGACCTCAAATCCGCCGGCGAGTCCAACCGGGGCAGCCCTCCCCGCAACAAAAGACCCCCGAGACACCGTCGACTTTTTCAAGAATTCCCCCAACAAGGGCGAGTGGTTTAGCCATTACTCTCCCTGAACTAGGCCTTCCCACGTCCCCGACCCCCAACTCACCATTGATCCCGACCCTGGCCCTGCCCAAGGCCACAGGCACCCCCCACCGGCTCGCCCACCCCGCGGATGCCCCGGCCCAGCTCCCGCCGCCCCCCTCACCTGTCAGGCGCAGCTTGACGGGCCCGTTCCTCCGACCCCCGGGGTTAGACATGTCCCCGGCTGCGGGGGCGGCGGGGGCGGCGGCGGGGCTGCGGCCGCGGCGCGGGGCCCGGGGCCGGCGGGCGGGGCGGGGGCGACGGCGAGGCGCGGCGGAGTCACCACAGCGGCCGGGGCTGGGGCCCGAGCAGCCGGCGCCGCGGCCGCCACGGCCGGAGGGTCCCGGATGTGCCGAGCGTCGTCGCCATGAGCCGCGGAGGGAGCGGGACGCCGAGCTCCCCCCTCCTCCCACTTCTCCTTCCTCGGTCCGGGCCGCACAACAAAGCGGCAGCCGCGGCCGGCCGCGCCGCCTCCGCCCGCGCCCGCGCCCCCGCCGCCCGCACGCAGCCGCCTCCGCCTTTCCCTCCTCTCGGCTCGGCGAGGCCCAGGAGCCGACGGCGCTGGTCGGCCGAGGCGGGCGGTGCTCGGCGGCGCCGGAGCAAGACTCGGGGCTCGGCCGCTTCCTCCTCCACCCGCCCTCTTGTCTGAGGGAACCGGGTCCTGGGGCCGCCGCCGCCACTCGTCGGCTCCTGGGGGCGGGGAGGAGACGGGAGGCGGAGCCGGCGGGGCGGGGCCTGGACGGGCGGGCGCGCGCAGGGTGCCCAGGGCGCGGGGGCGCTGGGCGGCGAGCCCGGGCCGCCCTGGGCGCTGGCGGTGAAGGGCGGGGGTGTTCGCTGCAGCCGAGGGTCCCACACAGAACTTGGGGAGAGAACGGGCAAAAGAGCAAAGTGGCGGCGCCGAGCTCTGTGGCACCAGGAGGGGCTTAGTGTCTAGCCCACTTAAGGGAGAGCTTTTGTCCTTGCGACGCAGATTGCATTTATTAGACGCCCACTGAATGCAGGGCGCTCTAAGAGGCTGGGGCGAGCAAGGTTGGCCCCAAGTCCGCGACCCTCCGGGAATTTAGCGTTGCTGGGGTGAGGAAGAGACACCGTTCCCATACCGAGGGCTCCGGCAAATTCCCAGGGGTGTTTTGCTTCTGGTATAGTCGTTGCTACCTCCTTCCAGGACTCACCTGGTGGGTTAGATCAGGTTACCTGCCTGCTCTAGCTCTTTTTCCAGCTCTATCTCCAAGGATAGGAGATTGATAATAATACCTTAAAGGATTATTAACAAGCTAAACCTTGGAGAGCAGCGTATGAAAGCTTTTCATACAGTACTGCATTTCGTTATCTCAGGAGGAAAAAATAGAAAATGAGATAAAAATAAGTGTACCTTGCCCTTTGACCCTGTAATTGCACTCTTCGGAATTTATTCTTCATATATAATAATACAGATGTTCTTTGCAAAGTTCGATTAATAACAAAAGGGGGATGAGGGAACAGCCTAATGGTGAATTGTATTACATCATCCCCATCGATTTTTATGCAGCCATTTAAATGGCAATTATGAAGATCTATAATATGGAAGAGTTTACAAATAAAGTTTAAAAGCACAACAAAAAGTTGTATGCATGCAAAAGTATCTAGGACAATGAAAACTAAGAATAACGGGGGGGGGGGTTATGTGCTTTGTTAGTTTTGCTGAATGCTGTTTTTAATGCGATTTTAAATGTTTAATAAAGTCTAATATATTTTAATGCTAATTCGGTGTCAGTCATTCCTCTTAATTTATCAGCAATGTCTCTTCATTCTCCAGAGAAAGTTACCTCCAAGAGCATCTCATCAGTCTGGCTACAGCTCTACAATTAAAGTACCCAGAAATTGGGGCACCTAGGTGGCTCAGTCATTAAGCGTCTGCCTTCGGCTCAGGTCATGATCCCAGGGTCCTGGGATTGAGCCCCACATCGGGCTCCTTGCTCAGTGGGGAGCCTGCTTCTCCCTCTGCCTCTGCTGCTCCCCCTGCTTGTGCTCTCTCTCTCCCTCTGTCAGGTAAATAAGTAAAATCTTAAAAAAATAAAATAAAGTACCCAGAAATTATATAAAGTTCTATGAGTTAGACTAGAAATTCAAAGGACAGTGCTAGAAATTCATTCAAATTAAAATACTGAGTGCCTACTAAGTGCAAAGCAGTGAACGAGTTCCCTTAGAAATGCTTCTTTGTACTATTGAAGCTGTGAAGGGACATTAATCAATTCGAACAATGGCTGCTACCACAGTTTAAAAGACTGGATGGACAATGGCAAGAAAATTAGCAAACTGACAGATACATACACATTTGCCTTGCTCTTATGGCACACACGTTGTTCCCAACCACCCAGTAATATAATTTGTAGCTTTTTTTTTTTAAGATTTTGCCTACTTACTTGAGAGAGAGAATGAGAGAGAGAAAGCACATGAGAGGGGGAGGGTCAGAGGGAGAAGCAGACTCCCTGCTGAGCAGGGAGCCCAATGCGGGACTCGATGCAGGACTCGTAGCGAGACTCGAAGCGGGACTCGAAGCGGGACTCGATTCCGGGACTCCAGGATCATTCCCTAGGTGAAGGCAGTCACTTAACCAACCGAGGCACCCAGGCGCCCTAATTTGTAGCTTTGTATTAGGCAATGGAAGTTAGGATTTGAGAACAGAGGTGGGGGAGCTGGGGAGGCTACCTGTTGAGAAGTTTAAAGCAATATCTTCCAATATGTAAGTGACAGTGAGGCAAAATGTATACATGCTTAACATACAGAGAAGGACTCTGTTTAGGCTTACCTGTGTATAGGTTTAAATCTCATTGTTTAAAACAAAAGATTCAGACAAGAATAACACTTTGAAACCATTCATATTGTTAAGGAGAGCAAAACTTTCATTAGATTAAATTTCAGCACTAGATGCATAGTATTGCTTCATCATGGCAACACTTTTAGACATAAGCTTGAGAAAAAAGGGAGGAAAACAATTCTTAGGGAATTCACCCTTTTCTTTCTTCCTAAAATAGAAATCCAATTCCAATGTAAATCATACCTATGCATGTCTGTAATGGGTATGGGAATTGCAGAAAATCTTTTCAAAGCCCTTTTATTCCCTTATGACTTCTAATTTGCTCTCGGTAGAATTGTGCACCTTTTATCAAATCATTATTTTAGGCATCTGTCTCAAGTTTACTAACTCCACCTATTTTATTAGTATAAAATAAGTCTTTTTCCATAAATGCCACTTAGTAGAAACTTCCAATGAAAATGCTATAACAACTATTAAATAGCATTTTGGGGCAAGAGTTTTAAAACTTTATTAACATATTTTAATCACCGAAAGTCGCACTCTTTATGATGGTATCCTAGACCAGAGGTGAAAATCTACACATGGTTACAAGAATATTTAAAAACCTTTTGTTTAAAACATGTTTCTGTTTTCCAAGGCTAATGTTAAATTTGATGTGACTTTGCAAGAAAATGCTTACCATCTGTAGTTGGTATTTTTCTTCTGCTCCAGCCATTAATATATTTTTTACATAGAAGAGTTGTCTCCAGTAATAAAAAATCTGTCTGAGGTAAGGCTATGTTAATAATGGTCCTCCTGTGAAGCTATTTTTGTAGTGTAAATTTCAAATTTAATACAGTTTATGCACCATGGAAAAAAGCAAACATCAGGAACTCAGCAGTTTCTACCACGGCTTAAAATTCAACTTTCTTTAATGTTTAAAATATCATTAATTTAATTTAATTTCATACTTAATTCTAGCTTCCTTCAGATCAGCTTATCACTGATGAAGCAGCTAAGCATAGCCCCCATGTACTTACAGTTATTAACCTGACCCTCCCTGCTCCATCTCCACTCGTTTCCTCTCTGCCTTTGCCTGTCCTAGGTCCTCAAAGTTAGGTTTACTAAAAACCCACATGTGCAGTCCTGTCCTGACATGGTTTAGAATTGGGTCACATTCCAAGCTGTTGTCTATGACCCCTTCCTTGACCCCCTCCCAGCAGACCTGGTTCCCACTGATGAAAACTGAGGTCACCTCTGGGGCCTGTGTTTCTCCAGGTCAAGGCTCCCCCGGGCCACTCACCTCACTCTTGCCTACAGTGGCAGTCCCCACCCACATCCCCTTCTGAAGGAATCCACCCCCATCTACTGCTCTAGCCTAGTGTTCTATGCTCATCCCCAGAAATCCAGATTCAACAGATTAAGGTGGGGCCCGTGAATTTACATTTCTAATGCTACTGGTGGGGAGAACCCACTGTGAGAACCACAGCCTGACATCAGGAATGAGCCTGGGTGGCCCTGTTTGTATTAGGTGAGCTTGGCCTCCTAGTTATGGGATGACTGACCAATAAGCCAATCAGATTTTTCTCTCCTTGGAACATGAAATGGGGGCAATGGGAGACTGAGTTAGTGGTGTGGCACTGGGTTGAGAGGCTGTAGAGTTAGCTGCTGAGAAAGACATTTTAAGGTTCAAATAGATAAATAAAAGAGCAAATCAGTGTGTAGAAAGAGCCTAACAAAGCAGACAAACCAAAGTGCGGATAAGAGGTTTCATAACCCTGAAGATGGAGACAAAGAGAATGATTGTCTAACAGAATTCCTGCCTGTACTCCTGGCCCACGAAGGACTTCTTACAATTCATTTCCAAGGGATCTCACTGTGCAGAACAACCACCCCACCCTACTTAAGCAAGTAAGTGGGTCTCTGTCCCTTGCATTCACTTTGTCCCCACTTGGAACACCTTTTCCTCTTCAGGCCTGTCCTAAACTCTTCTCCAAACACCCTTGATTGTCTGCTCTGCTCCTGCTGGTGTTCCTCCCCAGAAATGAGTCTCACCTACAACCCAAACTGTGGCTTGGATCCTACCACAGAGGGGTAGCACTTCCAGAATCCAGAGCCCTCTAATACATATGGCTATCATGCTCTTGAGATATGGCTAGTGATATGCTGCAAGTATAAAATACACACTGGATTTTGCAGACTTAGTATGGGAAAAAAGAAGGCAAAATGTCTTAATATTTCTTATATCAATGACATATGGAAACCATAATATTCTGGATCGGTTGGGTTAAATAAAATAGAGTATTAAAGTTAATTTTCCTATTTCTTTTTACTTTTTTAAATAGGACTACTGGATGGGTGCCTGGGTGGCTCAGTTGGTTGGGCGACTGCCTTCGTCTCAGGTCATGGTCCTGGAGTCC